GCTTACAGTCTTATGTACACTTCCACAACTCTTACCCTGCGTATGCAAATCTTTTTGACGTCATTCTACCTTCATACAGACGGCCTGAAAGCTTAAATTACAACTCATTACAATAAATCACATGAACCCAGATCCGGCAGCACAGAGGAAAAGCCCATGATGCCTTAAAATGCAGTGTTTGTGTGCGAGGCGAAGTTCTGGAGCAGAAACTCCCTCTCAGAGCCCATTAATCACTGTCTCTGGGTCAGGAGCTTTAACCTGGCAGCCCTCCATACAGCCGTGTGCGTGTGTTTGTGTGTGTGTGAGAGAGATTGTGTGTGTGTGTGTGTGTGTGTGCGAGCGTGTCTCATGACAGAGCATTTCAGCTAAAAAAAAACCTGCATTTTATATTATAGTTCAACTAGAACCATAAAAAACATTTTTTGTAGTTGAAATGTTAAGCTAAAATGACTAAATTAAAAAAAAAATAATTAAATTTTAGCAACATTTCATTTTCATTTAGTTTAACTTGATGTAATAAAATAACTAAAGCTAAAACTGAAATAAAAAATAAAAACTATATAGACATTAAGAAAAACGATTAAAAAAAAAAAAAAAAAATTAAAACTGAAATTAAAAAGAAAACTGACAATATAAAAATAAAGAACGAGTGAACTCCGAATTTTTGCATTTATTTCAGCTCATAAAACCTACGTCTTATTCTCACGCAATCCAGTTTTACAGTCAAGTAGACTCTGTAGTGCGCCCTAGACGTCTGTGGTGAACCTCAGGCCATAAAATCATGATTAAATCTCTGAGAGACACATTAGCTTCAGATGTTTACTGTACTGTTAGAAACTCAATAAAGATTCATCTGCGATAGACACTGATATGAGTTCAGACTGAGATTCTGTGCTGTTATCTAGCGGCTGGAGTTTTCCCCAAAGCCCTGATCGTCATGAAGATGATGATGATGGACTGATTTCATCTCAAGCGTCAGAGTGAAGGAATCTGCATCTACAGCTCTCTAGAGCCGCCTGAGTCTGCAGAAACACACTAAAGCAAACTGAGACCGAAGCTGAGGAGCAGAACTGTGACAGCATACATGGGTATGACACAGGTATTACAAGGAGAAGGTGACTTATGAGGACATTACCATTACCCCATGTCCCCAGTTTTCATACAGAGTGAGGTTTTTGAGAAAGTAAAAAAGTTTCTGTGTGTGTGAGATTGTGTGTGTGTGTGTGTGTGTGTGTGTGTGTGTGAGAGCGTGTGTGTGTCATGACAGAGGATTGACAGAGTTGAACTACTGAAGTGTGTGTGTGTGTGTGAGTGTGCGTGTGTGTGTGTGTCATGACAGAGGATTGACAGAGTTTAACTACTGAAGTGTGTGTGTGTGTGAGATTCTGACATTTACAACAAAGTACTGCGAAACAAACAAATAACCTGCTCTAAACCAACAAGTGCACACTAATATCACGACTGCAGGATAAAACTATCAAAACCATCGTAGCACCAAGTAAACCAGGATTATAGTTAACAAATTTAAAACATAAAAAATATTTTTCACAAAATAGGCCGACACACACACACACACTCTTGACACAGCAGCAGGAGAGTCAAAGAGCGCCACTTTCTCGGGAGCAAGAACCATCCAATGTGTTACAAAAACCATTCATGAATATAAAATTAACAGTAGCTAGTTTGAATCTCATAAAATGTGTGCTATTCCTGTAGAGCATGTGCTCGCAACACCACAGTCATGGGATCAATTCTTACAGAATGCATGACTGATCAAATGTAAACCTATGCAATGTAAGTCACTTTGAATAAAAGCATCTGGCAAATGCATACATGTGTGATTCAGCTTTGTCACGCATTTTAAAAACGAAAAGATGAGAACATTCCATATCACTGTAACATGACCTGGATATTACATTTATATATATATATATATATATATATGTGTGTGTGTGTGTATATATATATATATAAATAAATGGCAATTTTGTAGAGGGGCATCAAAATGGTAATTTTCACCTGAGATTTGGAGCCAAATTCCAGGAGGGTAAAAATGACTTCAGAAAGATTGCAGCATCACTATATTATTTTTAAACAGAGATTCGTTGCTCTATTAATAAAATCTGTTGACTTTAGCAATCTTTGTTGCATTATGTGCCAATGGTGACCGTTCAAAAATGGGAAAAAGCACTTTGTGTCTTTTTTTCTCCCAAAGTTTGCATGCCTGTAACTCAAGAAGTATTGAAGATATTAAACTGTTTTTGTTCTTTAGCCATTGCTCTTTAAATACAAATATAAAATATAAAAACGTGACCTACATTTGGTTTTCGACCATTGAAAACATTTTACACATGGAGCTGCATCGAACTCCACATTTCTCTGGAACAGAATCATAAAGGGCCTTAAAAATGAAGATTAGAAAAGAAAAGTGTGTTAATAATTAGAATCTAAAACCTCTGACCCTATGGCAGAATATGTAAATGACATGAATGATCTCAAAATGCACGTCCCAGGAGCTACAAATCATTGTAATAATGGCATGAAAAAGTTATATGAGGAAAGCTGAGTCTCAGAGGAATCGACTGTAAAATAACCAGAATAACTAGAGGATTATGGCACATCTGTCCTGAAATAACCTAACATATAACACATATGAAGACAGAAGTCAGCTGATTATATCCCAGCAGTGCTGTAAAGAACATGTTTCCTCCCAAATATTACTATGATCATTATTAAAACACAAACTAACAGCAGGAATCCTCTCTAGATCCGCTTGAGCTTAAATGAGCCGAATTACATTTCTATCTGACTGAAAACACCTTAAATAACGTTGCAGATCCTTATCTGTTAAATGCAAGAATAACCAGCATGTTTAATTCCAGTTACTTCCAGATCAATGTTTTGAAAGCGTCACTCTTCAGTATCTACCATCAAAAAAAAGAATAAAAAAAGATAAAAGCTGGTATATTTTTAGATGCATTATACAGTCGAACACATCAATAATGCGCTGAGCTGTCTTCAGCTGACTCAGTGTCTTTCTCTGACAGCGTCTCGCAAGATTCCCTGCAAATGTAACACTGATAGTAAATGCTGCTCATTATATAAGCAGGAATTTTGTTTAAAAAGCTGGAAAGTGTAAAGCTTAAAGACATTAATACTTTTATTTAGCAAGGACACATTAAATTGATCAAAAGTGACAGTATAAAGACATTTATGATGTTGCAAAAGATTTCTATTTCAAATTATTGTTGATCTTTTGAACTTTCTATTCATCTGTGAATCTTGAAAAATAAAATGTATCACGGTTTCCACAAAAATATTGGGCAGCACAACTGTTTTCAGCATTGATAATAATCAGAAATGTTTCTTGAGCAGCAAAGCAGCATATTAGAATGATTTCTGAAGATCATGTGACACTGAAGACTGGAGTAATGATGCTGAAAATACAGCTTAGTTCCCATCTAAATCAAATGATTCGCAAACCTGCTCTAAAGTCCCCATCTGAATAGATTTTGCTAGTGAGTCACGAGTTTGAATCAATCGGAGTGGTTCCAGCATAAATGACTCAATTTATTCAATTTGTGTGTTCCTCCGCTTTTCGCGACTTCAGTCATGTTTACACGACACTGTCAGCACTACTACTGGCTCAGCTCGCTAGTGTTATGACATTAACTGAAATAAGCGGGAAAAAAAATTATATTTACTAATAAAATATCCATGTTTCCATTCCAAAGATAACATCCAACACAAATCTAGGAACATATTCAGGTGAGGTAACCGGTTTACTGCTAACTAGTGAAACACTCCATTAATATAATGAGCTGCAGCTCAAAATACGTTAGATGGAAACATTGTGCATTATGATGGCGTTTGTAGCTTAAAGGTCGCTACAGAAGACCTTTGTTCACCCCCCGGAGCCGTGTGAGACATTTTTTTTCATGGATGGGCGCTTTTTATTTCACTTCTTTTGGACTGAAGCATGCAACACCCGCTGAGTGGCATTAAACAGCTTGAAAGATCAAAGACGATTTTTAATATAACTCCGACTGGATTCGTCTGAAAGAAGAAAGTCATATACACCTAGGATGACTTGAGGGTGAGTAATTTGTGGGCTAATTTAAAAAAAAAATTACATTTTTGGGTGAACTAACCCTTTAAAGAGGGTATAAACTTTATCATTCAGCTGAACTGTGCTCGTGTGTTTCAAACACTTCGGCTCTTATATGTAAAATAATGTCACAATGCAAAAAAATAGAATAAAAAATAAAATTAAAATAAAAAAAATAAAGTAAAATAAAATAAAATAAAATAAAAATAGCCATATTTTGTTTAATGCATTTTTAAAGATTGTTTAGGAGTGAAATGTGGAGCCCGGTCTCATGAAACGCATATAAATAGTACGCCAAATAAAAACAATCATATACACATATATATCTATCATATACACGCCAAACTGGATTCGTCTGAAAGAAGAAAGTCATATACACCTAGGATGACTTGAGGGTGAGTAATTTGTGGGCTAATTTAAAAAAAAAATTACATTTTTGGGTGAACTAACCCTTTAAAGAGGGTATAAACTTTATCATTCAGCTGAACTGTGCTCGTGTGTTTCAAACACTTCGGCTCTTATATGTTCTTACTCCACACATCTATTAAATATGAGTCCTTAAAAGCGCACCGTTTATTTCTTTAACTTCTCAGCTAATATCAATGGTGTGACCTACTTCAGATGCAGCCCTAATTACAACAAGAGTGCTTGCATACACACATATTCAATAGTTTTATCAAAAATATTGCTAGGGACAATTTAGTAGTCGCTGGATGTTGGTAGAGACAGCAACCATTCAGTTGATTCCCAGCACACTCCACAGCAGCACGCACATGACCGTGAGAAACACTGAGACGCATGCATTTCGTCTGAAAAACATTTAGCATTGACCTCAAATAATGTTAAAGACACGCGGTTGCATAACAGTATATTTCAGCACTCGGCCAGTTCACAGCAGAACAAATTAGCGGCGGCGTTACGCAACAATGGCACGAGTGCGGGATTAGAGGAGCGGCACATTAACATTCAGCACTTACACGCCCCGTCCTTTAAATCCGCTGGCTTTACTACACGCGTGTCCTTCAGAAGCACTTAACCCGATGCTGCTGTGAAGCACAGGCCGAGAAAGTCCTTTATGAATAAAAAAAATTACATTTTTGGGTGAACTAACCCTTTAAAGAGGGTATAAACTTTATCATTCAGCTGAACTGTGCTCGTGTGTTTCAAACACTTCGGCTCTTATATGTTCTTACTCCACACATCTATTAAATATGAGTCCTTAAAAGCGCACCGTTTATTTCTTTAACTTCTCAGCTAATATCAATGGTGTGACCTACTTCAGATGCAGCCCTAATTACAACAAGAGTGCTTGCATACACACATATTCAATAGTTTTATCAAAAATATTGCTAGGGACAATTTAGTAGTCGCTGGATGTTGGTAGAGACAGCAACCATTCAGTTGATTCCCAGCACACTCCACAGCAGCACGCACATGACCGTGAGAAACACTGAGACGCATGCATTTCGTCTGAAAAACATTTAGCATTGACCTCAAATAATGTTAAAGACACGCGGTTGCATAACAGTATATTTCAGCACTCGGCCAGTTCACAGCAGAACAAATTAGCGGCGGCGTTACGCAACAATGGCACGAGTGCGGGATTAGAGGAGCGGCACATTAACATTCAGCACTTACACGCCCCGTCCTTTAAATCCGCTGGCTTTACTACACGCGTGTCCTTCAGAAGCACTTAACCCGATGCTGCTGTGAAGCACAGGCCGAGAAAGTCCTTTATGAATCTGATTCATATTCTAGCCTTTCTTAAGTGTGAAAACACCAGTGTGTGTGTTTGTTTATTTATTTACCCCATAGAAATATTTTGTTTCTTTTTATTTGGCGTACTTTTAATACACACTTTCCTGAGATCGGGTTGGAAATGTGACATGATTTTGTGTGATTTAATCAGTATATGCATTCATATTGCTTAAATACTGAACATTATATACTGAATAAATTTAATTAAATACAATTTAAAAATACAATTAAAAGCGTGACATTTTCGTAAGTTTGTAACATGATTTTGTGTGATTTAATCAGTATAAAAATGCATTTATATACTGATTAAATAAATGCATTCCTATACTGGTTAAACACTAAAGCTTATATGCTGAATAAATAAATAATTAAAGCAGTGACGTTTTTGTGAGGTTCACCTCTACATCTGATTAATGTGAAGGTGATTTAAAGCATATCGGTGAAGCTGCTCCGTTTGTTTGCATGTAATGAAAGCGCGAGATTGGATCTAAACGTCTCCAGGCAGAGCGCTGATTAACTTTAATCATTTACACGCGCTCGGCGCCATTAATCCCGACAGATCTGAGCGTCACGAGACCTTGATGATCACCTGCTGATGCTTTCATCTGCTTCTCAATCGACCGGCGCTCTTCCTCAATCAGCACACAGGGCTTACACATCCCAGCAAGATGCATCGTGGGTAACAAACGCTGACATTATCAAGCTGCCTCCAGAAAGCCTGTGATGCTGCTGAAGAGGCAGATTAAAGCGTCAGACCCACAGCCGCAGCTCTACTTCTGTTTCGATGAATCCACGTGATTACGATCGGACAACAGGAGCAAACGTCCCTGCAGATGCACAGGTGCGTCCGGTTCAGAGTAACGACACGAGCATATATATTTCATATATATATATATATATATCAGCAATGCAATTATGAGCCATTATCAGTCATAAACACCAGAGAGATGCTCACATCTGCTGCTAAAACTAACAAGCAGCAGCCAGCTCACATTTCACCACACAATCAACAGAAACGCATAGGAAATTATATTTGAAATAAAAATTCAAGAACGATTTTTGCACTGTGACATTATTTAACCATATAGGGGACTTTACTGATTCTTCACCCTAAAAATCAGAAGCAAATATAAGAAGAATTAATAATAATAATAATAATCATTATTTTATAATCAATAAAATTTAATAAAATGATAAAATAAAAACATGAAAAATGTGCAAAAAATATGTAAAAGAAAAAAAAAGAAAGTGTAAAGTATATTTAAGATCATTAAGATTTTTTCCCTTTTAACATTGTACATTAGGTTTTCTCCTAATTATTCTCAATGCTGATTCTCACTACTGTTATATAGTGCTGTTTTTCTCCTTTAAAACAGCATAAATTAAAGGCTTTGCCACAAATAGGCAGCGACCACAAAATCAACAAACCGAGACGCTTCTTAACAGGTTTTCATGAGATTCGCTCTGAAATGACCCTCATTGCAGCGAGGGTGTTTTAATTAGCCAAAATCCGTCATCCAGAGACAGACTGAACTCCAGCGCTTTCACAAACAAACCAATTCCTGCTTTACAGAGGAGAAAAAATGGTCACAATGCACATGAAATGCAATGCCCAGAAACCCTGTGAAAGGTGCTGCTTATCGTTTCCCAACAAAATTACCCAGAATCCTTATCATGCAGAGGGAAACACATGATAGTGCGTTGCTCTCACCGACGCTGACACATACATGCTTTTCATGGTCATTTGTGTCATTAATAAAATGAAATTATTCTGAACTGATTTTCTGCTCTACTTCAGCTCCATATTGGACTTTTGGCATAAAGACTGATCCATAACGTAGTTTATTCAGCAGTGGAGACTCATTTCAATTCTGTTGTGCAGAAAACACTGAAGAATCCAGACATTAACACTGAATGACAAGAACTGACTGAGAAAAACAAAAATCACTTCCATTAGAGTGTGAATTAAAGCATGAACCCAGTCACATTTCACCCTAAAATCAAAAGAAAGAAAGAATATATAATAATAATAAAGTAAAAAGCATTACAAGTGTATATGTAAATTAAAAATATATAAAATTTTATCAAAATATAGAAAATATAAATAACAAAAACAATTAATAAAATTAATAATAATGTCAATAAAAATTCTAACAAAAATAATAATGATTTACTCAGTGATCCTAAATGCACCAGAAACTGCATTATTTTTAGATATCTGAAAATGAATACAATACAATACAATACAATACAATAAAAATAAAGTAAAATAAAATAAAATAAGGACTCTTTAGATAGTCAATCACATACTCAAAGTGAACCTAAAAATTAGACTGCCAGAAAGCATCTGAAAATAAAACAATAGAAATATTAAAAAATAACTAAAAAAAATACATAAAAGTACTAATGTAACTAAATAAAACTACCAATGACTTACTCAAAATGACTCTAAATATTAAACTGATATGCTAGAAAGTATTAAAAAAAAATAAATAAATAAAACCCAAACAAAAATTCCAAATAAAATAAACAAAGGACTCCTAAAGTTGTCAATGACTTACTATAAGTAAACCTAAATATTAAACTGATGTGCCAGAAAGCATCTGAAAATAATAATAAACTAAAATAATAAAAATTAAATAAAAGTAATAAAATGACTACTAAAATAAAACTACTAATGACTTATTTAAAGCAACACTAAAGGTTAACCTGTCATGCTAGCAAGTATCTGAAAATAAAATAAAAAATAATAAAATATATATTTAAAAAAAATCATATCTAAACAAAATAAAATAAAAAGGAAAAAAAATAAATAAATAAAGTAGTCAATCAAAAAGTGACCCTGAATGTTAAACTGATGCACCAGGAGGCATCTGACAGCAAAATAAACTAGTAATAAGAAACAAATGAATAAAGGACTCGTTAGGGAGTGAATGACTTACTCAAAGTGACCCTGAACTAAACTGAGTGTATCACATACATCACATCCAGCTTAAAAGTTCAGCAAAATCCACAACAAATACCTTTACAATTCAGCGATGTTTGCGTCAGTACAGAAATAAACACTCTTCTGTCAGTTTTCTTTCTCTTTTTTCACTCTTTTCTCTCTCACACTCACCAAAAGCCCATTAAAGCGACTGTGAGATTCTCACAGCATCACTCGTCTGAATGACAGACTGAAGTCATGCCATTAGTACAGTGAGACGACACGAGGATCCGCTGATACAGCGACGGCTGGACAAACGGCCGACGGATCCAACGAATGGGAGGCAGTTTAGTCAGAACTGATTATTCAGAGCAAAAACAATCAGCATTTAACCACAATTTATTAGCAAACGGCTTTCCGCAATGAAATACAATAGATATGAGAGGCTTTCTCTTGGATTTAAACAGATAAAAACAGTTCTGGACAGAACAACGCGTTCATAACCATAATAATAAAGCGATAATACATTTAAAGAAAAAAACACTTTAAATAATAGTCAATAAAAAAAAAAATAAAAATAAAAAAATAAAATAAAATAAAATAAAA